AGGCTCCGGACGCGCAGGCTCAGCGGCCATGGCTCACGGGCGCAACCGCTCCACGGCATGTGGCATCTTCCCGGACCGGGGCACGAACCCGTGTCCCCTGAATCGGCAGGCGGACTCTCAACCACTGCGCCACCAGGGAAGCCCAATCCAGGTATTTTTAACAAAGATATTTTTTCTGCTTGCCTAGACTTTGGTTTTGCCATTGAGACAGATGTGACTTTTGTTAATTCAGATTTCAGGTCCCTTCAGGATGTTGTGTTGGAGTATTTCACAAAAACATCCACATCTTTTTGCATTTCCTCTGTGAAAGTACTTATAAAGAACTGTAGCCTTTGGTGAATACAAACACTGGAAAATGCTGGCAAACAATGTTGGGTAGTACTCTAGTAACATAACATTCAGATCTCTTAGCAAAGGTAACAGCACTACTCAGCATCACTTAAGAAGCTGCCAGTTTAAGGACTTATTTTGCTTCTAGAACTTATTTTTCTAGAACTTATTTCTCAGAACATCACTCACAGAATTTGTATGAAGTAGCCTATGCATATAATCTTATTAATATTTATTTCATTTGCACTGTTATCAGCAGGAGCAAGGAACACATGTGTAAAATGGCAACTCTGGAAGACTGATTAGATCTTGATTAGATTTTCTCCTTCCTGCTCCTTTCCCTGGCTCACTTTGGACTCCAGGTGTTAACAACATCCTGCTATTGCTTTTGACTTGTCAGTGGATCCCTTTGAATCAGTACCTTCTCTATGTTGATTGTCAAACTTTAATTCTGATTGTTTAAGCTTTTATTCTAATCATAATATTTTCTCCTGTCTTCCTGATTTCTCAGCTGATTTTTCTTGAGATTCAGAAAAACATACACAGTTTCCTACAGTTCCCAAGAAATGCTTGAATGCAAACACTGATTGTAAAAGCTTTCTTCCCTCTAAGTCATCAGATCCTGATAGTTTGGGTGTTTTAATTGAATCGTCAAGAAATCAAACGTTCTCAGGCTTTAATGCTCTTCAGGTTCCTGTAACCAAGTTGGATTTACTATAGTGAGGAAGAACACATAAATGGAGAACAATGGGCTGTCTCAGTAAGGTGTTAAGAAGTAACCTATTATAGGATTTGGGCTTTGGTTGGTGACTTGAGGGAGAAATCTAAGGAACTGGGGATTTGCTCTTATTGGATGCTGTCAGGCAGCTGGGGCAATTTATGATCGGGCATCTCAGTCTTATCTATACAGAGGGAAGACTAGAATGAGAATAAAGCTATAATTTGTAAATAAGTAATAGTCACTCATTGTGGCCAAGAGAAAGGGTATCTTGTGGTACTTTGTGGTTGGCAGAGTGATCTTGTTTTTGTCTATGCTTAGGCAAACTTCTGAAGTGGTTTACTTTGTCTCATTTTATCATGGTCTCAGAGTGACCTTGTCTGAGGTTGGTATTTCATGAGATTATGTCTATCTAATAGGAGAATAATATGGCTTAGCTGTGAGTACTAGACCAGTTTCTGAATATCAGGAGCTCTTTCTTTCTTTCTTTCTTTCTTTCTTTTTTTTTGTTCTTAAAGTTTTCATTCAGATATAATTTATATACAGAAAAGTACAAAATTTTTAAGTGAATTTTCATAAAGTGAACACACTCGTGCAACCAGAATTCAGCTAAAGAGAACATCGCCAACACCCAGAAGCCCCCTTTATGCACCCTTCAGATTACTAACCCCAAGACTACTCACTATCCTGACTTCTAACATCATAGCTTCATTTTGCCTGACTTTGAGCTGTATATGAATGGAAACATTCAGAATTAGCTCTTTGTTGTCAAGTTTCCTGGGCTCTACATTATGTTTATGAGATTCATTCATATGTTGTGTCTGATTGTAAATTAGTTCATTCTTGCTGCTGAATAGTATCCTGTTGTGTAAACACACTACAGTTTATTGTTATTACTGTTGATGGCTATTTGGGTGTTTCCAGTTTGGGGAGATCAGGAATAGTGCTGCTGTGAATGTTCTTATACGTGTCTTGGGATGAAAGCATATATTACATGCTTGCTGGGTAGAAGGAGAATTGGTCATGTTTACCTTTAGTAAATAGTACCAAACATTTTCCCAAAGTGGTTGTATCAATTTACACTCCCACCAGCCATGAGATTTGTGCTTGTGCTTGCTCTATTCCCATGTTATTTATACTGTTGCAGAATACAGAAAAAGGTGAAAACTTCTAAATATATTCTACAGGTCCACTATTACCCTGACACAAAATTGAGAAAGGACAGAACAAAAAGGAAAACTGTCAGTCATCTTTAAATAGGGCTGTAGAGATACTAAAGAAAATATTAGCAAACTGAACCTAGAAATAATTAAAAAACAAACAAACAAAAAAGCAGGACCAAGACCACAGTGAGTTTATTCCAGGAATAGAAGTGTAATTCAACATTAGGAAATCTATTAACATAACACATTAAAATTTATATTAATTTATTAGTGTTTGTTAATATAATTCATTAAGTTCCTATTAATTTATTAATATCGTTGTTCATATAATTCATTGAAGTAGAAACTTTATTAATATTTCCTTTAAGAGATTAAAGTAGAAAAAACAATCTCCAGGGCTGCCGAAAAAACGGTTGATAATACTTAATTCCATTTCTAATAAAAATTCCACAGAGATATATAAATGTCCATGTACCTTCCCTTCAGTCTACTTTTCAGATTCATCGTCTATCATTACACCATATGCAGGCTAATTTCTGACTAAAACAACTTACAACTTTGATTTTTCCCTTGTTTCTCTACTTATTAGCTGTGCAGCCTTGGGCAAGTTACCTAACCACTCTGTGCTAATTTCCTGTCTAAACTGGAAATAACTGTACGTACCTTAAGCAGTAAGAATTAACTCCCTTAGACAGTAAGGGAATCAATAAGTTACTATTATCACTTTTTAATTACAAGACTTTGTTCATCAGCCATCCCTTGACTGGACCATGAGTGCCCTGAGAGCAGGGACTAACACTGATACATTTGGGATACTCAAGGAATGTTTGTTGAATCCTGATCCAAGGTTTCTCATCTTCCTGCCTTTTTTCTTTGTTCTCTCACCTTACCCTGTGTACCCTCTCTCCCCTGTCCACCTATCTAAAGCCTAACCCCAAACAGTGAATAACCATTCTTTTTTTTTTTTTTTTTTTTTTTTTCAGTCCGCGGGCCTCTCACTGTTGTGGCCTCTCCTATTGCGGAGCACAGGCTCCGGACGCGCAGGCTCAGCGGCCATGGCTCACGGGCCCAGCTGCTCCGCAGCATGTGGGATCTTCCCGGACCGGAGCACGAACCCGTGTCCCCTGCATCGGCAGGTGGACTCTCAACCACTGCGCCACCAGGGAAGCCCGTGAATAACCATTCTTTAGAACACTTTCTTTGTACCATTCTGATGATGCTTATTACAGTGTTTTGAGAACTAAATGAATATAATGTTGTTGTTGTTGTTTTTAACAACACTTAGGACATAATAACCACTCAGTAAAACTTAACTATTGATGGAAGAAATTATCACATATTGAGGTATGGGGAGGTCACTCTAGCTTATACGTTGATTTGGCTTGAACTTTATGCTATCTACAACAGCCTACCTTGTAGCCCATCAACATGCATTGTATATCTGCTCTAACCAATGAAGAAAAGAGTGCACTGTCCAGAGGTAAAGAATGTCCCTTCTGAAGACAGAGATAAAAGTGTCCCTTTCTGGGACATCAATGCTAGTACTCCTTTGATGATAAGGCTCCTTTCCTAGGTGCCAAAGCCATACTAACTTGCTGTGTACAAGCTAATCTGTTTGTTTGCTTGTTTGTTTTTAACTTTGAAGGCATGTACTCTTATCAGGTTTGATGTTCTTTCTTCTGAAAGAACATAAAATTGTGCTGAAAACCATGCTTCTCGAGAGCAGTTCCTCAGAGCTACTGAGAGGCTAACTCCTGGACTATAGTCCTCAGTTTGCCTCAAATAAAACTCTCCGTTATTCTTTTTAAATTTATTTATCTTTGGCTGCATTGGGTCTTTGTTTTGGTGTGCAGGCTTCTCATTGCGGTGGCTTCTCTTGTTGCGGAGCATGGGCTCTAGGTGCGTCGGCTTCAGTACTTGTGGCGCACGGGCTTAGTTGCTCCGTGGTATGTGGGAATTCCCCGGACTAGGGCTCGAACCCGTGTCCCTGCATTGGCAGGCAGATTCTTAAGCACTGTGCCACCAGGGAAGTCCTCTCCTCTACTCTTATTACAGATTGGTTATTGAGTATTTTCTTTGACACTATCACAATCACGTTATAGTTGCTGCAGTTTTCTGAGTTCCTCCAGGGCAGAACTATGTAGTACATTTTTGTTTTCACTTTTCAGGGTCTGCCAAAGCACAGTGGCAAAGGCTGAGCTGGGAAGAAGCACCGCGCTGAGGGCCCTGGGGTGTGGGTGGGGTCCCATAAAGTTCAGCGAGATGGGGGTCACGCACGCATGCAAAGCAAGACACGGAGAGATTGGACCAATCACACAATTTGGGCGCTGAAGGCCCCATCTCCCAAATTTTCCTTCACTATTCAAGTCAGAACCAAACTCTCCGGCAACGGATGCAGGTATCCGAGGCCCATTTGGGGCGCTCGGGACACCTAACCTTGGGAGGCGGGCGCAGGCGGAACCTTCGTCCTCAGCTCCAAGTTTCCCACAACTCCGCTTCTATCGCTACACTACCAAATAGACGGCCTCCTTCCCCCACCCCCGATGGCCTAGTATTTTCAACGAAACGATTAACAGACACCTCAACAACTGAGGACTGTTTCTCCAAGCAGCGTTCCCCCAGCGCGGTCGCACGAGTCCCGCAACATAGGGGCGGTGCCCAACGAAGGGCCACCCACGCTTCCCCCGCCCAGTGAGAAAGAGGCCGCCGGCCGTAGCTCCGGGCGCGTGCTCTGCCGCTGACACCGCCCCGCGCTCACGCCGCCCCGCCTCTTTCTCTCCGGGACTTCCTGCTGTGGTGCTCGCAGACTGCCTCCGCGCCGCTGGAGGGGCCTGGCCTTTCCGGAGCGTGCTGTTAGCCAGGGATACCGGAAGAGACCGGGCAGCGGGGGAGAGCTGCAGAGGGTGGCGGAGCCCGCCACGCACACCCAGGGAGGGCAGGGGGAGAGAGGGAGGCAGAGTTAAGCGAGGAGCGCGAGGAAGTGAGCTTGGGTCCGACTTGAGCTCTGGCTCAAGACCGAGACTGGTGGGCCAGGACCCCAAGCCGGCGTCACACCCCGTCTGAAGAAGACAGGCGGTCACATGGCTTCGCCATTCCTGCCTGCGGGAGCCACTACGGGCGACAGCGGCGGAGAGCTGAGCTCGGGGGACGACTCCGTGGATATGGAATCTCTCCAGAGCCCGGAGACCGAGGCGTCCAGGAGGCTGACAGAGCTGTTTGAGAAGGCTGCCGCGCACTTCCGAGGCCTGGTTCAAGGGGCCAGCAGGGAGCAGCTCTTGTACCTGTATGCACGGTACAAGCAGGTAAAGTCACAGAGAAGGGGTGGATGCGGGAGAGCGACCACAGCCCTTCTCTTTCCTCCAAAAAACAGATAGTAAACGTGCTTGATTAATGGCTAGGTGTAATGAAGTTTGTATGTGTGTGTGTGTTGTTTTTTAATCATCTGCTAAGGGTTAGCATCATTCTGGACAAGGAAAGGACCTGTCTGCTATCCGAGGAGTGATACTTAGCTGACCCTGAATGACAGTTTTTCTGTGTCTTCTCTGACTTGCTTAGTGGCCTTGCACTTACGCTTTCACCAGCTTCAGATTTATCGTTCACTCTTGCCAGAGGGTCGTTTGGAAGTAAATGTAGTAATGTTAAAAAAACATTTCTGAGAATAATATGATTGTAATAAAGAGGGTGATGCAATGCAAAATAAAGTATTACTACTTTTATTAGTGTGATTTTTTTTTAACCCTAAATATCTTAGACTTATGTTTTGGCTGAATATGCTTGTGTTAGATACAGTTATGAAAATTTTAGAGCTAGAAAACACCAGATGAAATAATGCCCTTCTCTTAGGAATAAGGAAACCCGGAGAGAGTAGATAACTTGCCTAGGGTCATAGAGAACTAGAACTAGATTGTAGCTCCTGACTCTAAAACTCCAAAGATTACCTGGAAGTATGGAAATAATAATGTCATATGAGACATCTTTAATTTATACTCAAAGAGTTATTGGGTTAGAAAAATAATTGCTTTATCATAATCGACAAATACTTTTCAGCATCTTTTATGGCAAAACACTTGGGTGTTATGCCTGTGGGGGATGCAGAGAAGCAAAAGCATCATGACACTTGCCATCAAGAGACTTACAAAGTTACTTGAGGTGTTTAGATTTAAACATGTGAAAAATCGCTCACGAGAGTTAAATAACAGTTCAGGAAAACTCCAGCTCTTCGGAACACTGGAAGGAATGAAGTTCTGGATAACAGCCCATTTTATGCCTCTTGATATCTGTTTCCCCCTGTATTCTTTAAAAAAAAAAAGTTGTGGGGTCCCTCTGTATTCTTAAACTGAATATACTAAGTAGAGATGAACCTTCTTTTGAAGATTCATGAATATCTGTTAAAGTGACCTGAGAGATATAGCTGGTAGGAACAAATGGTATAAATTTTAGTGTTGAATGAAAATATGCCTGAATTGGCCTCAGAATTTGTTTTCATGCATGCAGAAGTTCTGGATATCTGTTTTCTCTTTGGTCATTTATCCTGTCCTAATAACATTCAAATGAGATTTTCAGTTATTTAACAAGAATTTATTGAGCATTGCGCTTGGACCAGTAACATGGCTGACTGATGATTCTCTGGACAGTATAAGACTAATTTTCTCCAAATTTCCTAAAAACATTGTTTTTCTTTCTATGACATATATTTATTGATATTAGCATCATCATTATTAAATATCTGATATTCGAGTCATCAGTGAACTATAGTCACCTGTCAGCTGGCAACCATCTGTTTCAAATATACTTCATCCAGATAGTCTGGAAGAGGCGTGTGTTCCTCACCCTCTTGACATTAGTGTGGTTAGAGATATTCTGTTTCTGGAAATAAAATTCCTCGTTATTGGAGAATAATTATTAGAGAATTAGAGAATAAGATTATGCTTACTTAGATATGTTAGGGCACACAGTGTTTATCAATCTCTTCTAAATATTTTGTTTTTATCAGAATTCTGTGGCAGTATTAAAAATAGTATCTTTGATAGAATAACAAAATTGAAAGTCCAATATAATTCCTGTATGGTGGATCAGAATTTCTCATAAAATAATTACATTTCTCATAAAATCAACCTTTATCATAAAATAATTACATTTTCTATTCCAAATAGCACTCTATTTTGTCAGGAGGAAGGGGCTGAAAATAAGCTGATATGTGAACCTTACTTTCTCAGGCAGAGCCCTAACATAACATAATAGCTCTTTTAGTCTTGGATAAGCCTATGACTGCACAATTATCTTTTAGTGAAGTTTCAGAAAGATCACACCAATTAACAGGGTTTTTTTGGTCCTCCATGCATTAGCCTGCCCTCTCCCAGCAAAAGATAACTAATTGACACCTGTGAAACTAGAGGACAATGAAAATTTCAAGCTCCTGTTGAGGAACCTTCAGCACTAGCACAGGTGGGGATACTCAGCATGTCCTACTTTAACCTGGGTATACTTGATTCACTGGCATTTACCATTGGCAAACTTTGTTGAAATATTCTGTTTCAGGGGCACTGGATATATCATACATATATCAGAGAGAACAGAGTTTAGATGGTGCTCTGTTAAAGTGCTGCATTTTATAACTGTTTCATAGCTTAGGATTCATCATCCCTGATTTGGAAACTGTTACTTACGATGTCCTAAAATCCTGTAGGTTTATTTTCCCAGTATTTCTGGATCCAGAACTGTTCTTTGAATTTGGGAATACAAAAGCTTCTGTATCAGTGAGGATACTGGGTCAGCTGCTGAACTTTTATTTTCATCTCACATAATGGTCTGGAGGTAGGTGATCTAGGGCTGATAGGGTGCTTCTGTTTCATGTGATCATCCAGGGGCTTAGTCTTTGTCTATCTTGTAGTTCAGCCATCCCTCAAGGCAGCAGTTCTCAAACTATGGTCCCCTGATAATCCCTGAGACTTTCACAGAATATAAAGTCAAAACTTTTCATAATAATACCAAGACACTACAGGCATACCTCAGAGATATCAAGGGTTCAGTTGTAGACCACTGCAATAAAGCAAATAGCACAATAAAGTCAGTCACGCGAATGTTTTGGTTCCCCAGTGCATATAAAAGTTCTGTTTATACGATACTGTAGTCCATTAAGTGTGCAAAAGTGTTATGTCTAAAAAAATGTATATACCTCAATTAAAAAATACTTTATTGCTAAAAATGCTAACCATCATCTGAGCCTTCAGTGACTCATAATCTTTTTGCTAGTGGAGGGTTTGAAATATTGGGAGAATTAGCAAAATGTAACCCAGGAACATGAAGTGAGCAAATGCTATTGGAAAAATGGTGCCGATAGACTTGCTTGATACAGGGTGTCTACAAACCTTTAATTTGTGAAAAACGCAGTGTCTGCAAAGCACAATGAAGCAAAGTGCAGTAAAACGAGATATGCTTGTATTTGCCTTTTTTCTGTGCTGTCATGGCAGATAAAACTGCTGATGTGTTAGCATGAATCAAGGCAGTGGCAGCAGACTGTACTAGTAGTTATTTTTTTTTTAACCACTATGTACTCTGAGTTAAAAAAAAAAAAGGCCAGTTTCACTTTAAAATGTCTTTGATGAAGCAGTGAAAATTATTGATTTTTATTCAGTATTAACTCTTGAGTACACATTTTTTTTTTTTTTTTTTTTTTCACTGTTGCGGCCTCTCCGGTTGCGGGGCACAGGCTCCAGACACGCAGGCTCAGCAGCCATGGCTCACGGGCCCAGCCGCTCTGCGGCATGTGGGATCCTCCAGGACCGGGGCATGAACCCGCGTCCCCTGCCTCGGCAGGTGGACTCTTAACCACTGCACCACCAGGGAAGCCCCTGAGTACACATCTTTTTAATATTGTGTGTGATGAAATGGGGGTACACACAAAATACTTCTCCTGCATACTGAATTATGTTGGTTGTTTTTTTTTTTTTTTTTTTTCTTGCGTTATGCGGGCCTCTCACTGTCGTGGCCTCTCCCATCTGCGGAGCACAGGCTCCGGACGCGCAGGCCCAGCGGCCATGGCCCACGGGCCCAGCCGCCCCGCGGCACGTGGGATCCTCCCGAAACGGGGCACGAACCCGCGTCTCCTGCATCGGCAGGCGGACTCTCAAGCACTGCGCCACCAGGGAAGCCCATGTTGGTTGTTTTGAGGAAAAACGCCTGTGTAAGTTTTGGTTGCAAGTTGAGCTACCCACGTGAAACCTGATTTTTACTTAACAGAGCAACTCACTGATAAACTATGCTTATTCAGGTTTGAGCATTTGGCATACAGTTTCTTGAAAATGAGTGAAGTCAGCCTGTCACTTCAAGGAAAACAACTGACAGTATTTGTTGCCAGTGACAACATTTGAGCCTTCAAGTGAAAATTAAGTTTGGAAAATCTGTATCTGCCACCCTATCTTCACGGCTTCCTAATACTGAAAAACGTTTTTGATAAGATTAGTGGAGGTTTTAATGATTTTGAACTTCCGGTATTGTACGTATAATGAATTGTGTCATTTGGAAGATCTGCGTAACTCAGTGAACTGTTTTTTCATTTATTTCAGGGAGTGAGGTTACAAATTATGTGTGCATAAAAGATGCATTGAAAGTGCAGGTCAGACCAATGGATTTTAATATAACAGTGAAAAATTTGTTGGTATCACTTCAGATTCCACATTGCAATTAACCTTAAAGAAACTGCCACTTGTTTAGTTTCGGTGTGATATCAAAGATGAGTATCCACAATTTCCTGAAAATGCTACTAAAATACTTTTCTAACAACATATCTCTGTGAAGTTGAATTTTCTTCATTTACTTCAACCAAAACAGCATATACTGCAATAGATTGAATGCAGAAGTAGAATACACCTGCCTTCTATTAAGGCAGACAGTAAAGAGATTTGCAAATTGTAAAAACCCTGTCACTTTTCTCACTAAATATTTTTTGCTTTAAAATGTATATTTTTCATAAAATTTTGTTATTTATGTTAACATGTAATGAGTTTATTATTTTTAAATGAATTAATACATATTTTAAAATTTCATTTCTAATCTGGTAAATATTGATAGATATAACCCACGTAAACAAAAGCTCTTTGGGGGGCTCAGTTTCTAAGAGTGTAAAGGGATTATGAGACCAAATGGTTTGTGAACTGCTGCCCTAAGATTCTCTTCCCATGGCCAGAGATAGCTCACCATATGCATGTTCTAGCCAGGGCAGAGGGAAAGGGAATAACAAGCCCCGCGCC